TCTTAATTTTGTCCACATAAATATATGTGTAGATTTAATTACATTGCAAGCTTCTTCGATGCTTTGTTCTGTATACATATATTCCATATTCCACTCATCCTATAGCATATTTATCAAATGACCCCTATAACGGCCTAACTTAGCCTTGGGTTAATATATACATTAAAAATTCATCGTTATCACAAGTTCAAATGATCTATTTGGTTGCTTATTCCATTAAGACAAAAATACAAATATAGTTTGACCTTATCAGTTTGAAAAAAATATCTACTTGAGATTTATGCGATCAACTAAAAATCAATCTGGTTTAGCTATTATAGCCTTTACATGGAAATCAACCAATATAAGAATTTCCTCAGTCGCAAGATTTAAATAGTAAATGATCAAATATCGATCCAAGAGAAGACTATAGGTTACTAGTTAGTTCTCCCAGTATGTTGTGTTCATGGGAAAACATAAAGGAAAAAGCAAAATCAACATGGGGAGAGATGAGATGAGACTTGTCCTTCTTTTGGCATGGTAAGATTCTGAAATTGGAATAAAGGAATAACCAGACAATATTTACCTTTATTTCTTCTTCTTTTTTGTTAACCAAGTATATACCTTTATTTCTTCAATTGTTTTTTCTTTAGTATAAGATATTTTCTCTTTCAACAAGTGGAATCAATTATTTTCATTCATATTTTGAACTCCTACTATATTCCACAAAATCTTTTTTTACGTACCAATATTCATTTGTATAGAATTTTGTACTTCTGTATATCAAAAAAAATATTTTGTACTTTCTATATGCATAATTTTATATATTAATGTTATATTTAATATATAAATGTTACATTTTTAAGTAAGCAAATTGCAGTGTCCGTGTTTGCACTACAAGAATCAAGTTATCATCCCTTTTATGTTTGTTTGTCTATGTGGACTCCATGGTTACTAGAAAAATGATAATTCAGTAAATGGCAAAGAATGCTTATTAGTTTTTTTTTTTGTTGAGAAATGCTCATTAGTTATGATTATTTTTATTATCTGCTACCTTTTCAATTGCTATTACCAAATAAATAAACATATTGGGTATGAATATTTAACTTGTAATTTCATCTATTTTTTTAGATGAATCATGAATGCAAAAAAAGTTAAGACGTTAAAAAATATGATGAAAAACTGAGCTAATTGATCACAAACTCATGTCTCACAAAACACTTATATATATTTATATATATAGTACATAATATATAGTTTGTCCAATAATAGAAAAAATGATAATTCAGTAAAAAGATAAAAAGAAAATAATTTATAGTATGTCTAATAAAAAAAGATCATATCAGTTTCACGAACCAATATTTGATAATCTAATCTCCACGGTAACCATTGTTTGGGCTGAGATTCCGAATCTCATATACAATAGGAAACAACTACTAGCCTAATAATCAAGAAACCAAGACGAAGTGATGCCAACTTCTATCGGCCGCACCTCTATTACAAGAAGATATTCAGCTACATAATTTGATTATAACGGTTCATATGAAACCGACAACAATCAATAGTAATCAACAGTCAACACAAGATTTGGCTGCGACATCATAAATTGTATATTGGAAAGAGACACATATCAATCATACGATTAAACTCTTTTACCATAACCACTACAAAACTCGAGATGTAAACAAATTCACACATGACATATTCACATCACCATCTGAGACCTCACAGGCTACGTTGCACGGAAGCCACAGGTATTCCGAGTTCAAATTTATATTCCGAGTTCTCTCCCATGACTAATAAAAAAGGCTTCTTAGGAGTTGAGATTCACAATAAACTTAATAGGCCCACTACAGGCCCTGATAATTCATTTATTGTGTGTTATCTTTGGTATGTTCTCATTAAAAAAGATTAGACCTAGTTCACACATGTAAATGTCCAATATATTTTCATTTTATGCCGAGCAGGTGCAACCCTAATTTGCATGCCGAATTTTGTCGGCTCTTTACTTTATCAGCATTCACATGAAACTTACTCCTACATTGTAAATCATTAGCCATAACTTTAGCTGCAATTCAACCAAACCTACCTACTACAATACACCACCGATCTCTTTTTGTCCCCCAAACTTTATGTATATAATCCTTTGATCATTATCCGTAGCCCATCATGCGTGTTTTCTGTTTGTGAAAATGCGTCAAAATGAATTATGAAATTCTTATTGTACTAGACAATGTTATTATCAATATATTTTGTTGTCATGATCAAATACCATTTTGTGTTTTTGTTTTGTTGTGAATGCTTGGAAACCTACATTTTTGTTGTTTAGCTCGCTCAAGCAAAGTAATTTATTGTTTGAATATAAGCTTTCCACTCAATAATTGCATTGAAAACTATTTGGATTAAATGCAGCCACACATTAAATAACATTGTTTGAATGGATACACTTAAGCATTTGTGCAACTCCATGTGACGCATTAAAAATTTATCACACTCGCAAAATTATCTGCCCCACAAGTCAGCAACACTAGATTCACAGTCACAAGCTTTGCCTTTTCTTATTTATATCTGCATCAAAGATCCTGTTCATTTTTTTTCTCATTTAAGAGAACATTCTTGGCAATTAACTGGAACAAGTGGAATTTAAACCATATATAATAACTAGGATAAGACCCGCGCCTTGCGCGGAACGAAATTGCTATTTTCATTATGTTTTGGATAATGAAACAATAGTTCGGTTTTATTTGGATTGGGGTGTTCAATCCGAATATCAATTTGTTTTGGTTCGGTTCTGTTTTTTTGGTTTTTCGTATTTCGGTCAGTGTGTTTCAAAATAAAAAAAGTATTTAGGTTAGTAAATATAACTACTATTCTAAATCTAATTTACTTCGGTTTTGTTTTATTGGATTTTTATACCAAAAAGCATTAATATTTAGTTTGAGATCATATCATATATTATACGAATTTAGAGTCATGTTGTCAAAAAATCATTTATTAAAAAATATTTTATATTTAAATAAAAGAATAAAAACAAAAAAAATTTCTATCATCTAATAAAATAATCAAATCTAGAATTAATATCAAAACTCTAAATTTTGAAAATAAAAATAAAAAACAAATTAGAAGCACGTAAGAAAAACATGTTCCACAACTTTTTTTAATCTTTTATTTTAACATCAATAAGAACTATTTTAATGGTTTTAGAACCAGCAGCTTACTATTATTTCCAAAATTGAATTAATTTGACCATAGTATTTCACATAGTTTATGAAGGGTTTCAACTGGNTATATGTATATAATTTAGTTTGAATATTTTTAAATAAAAATCTATATTAATACAATTTTATGGTCATTTGTATCTTGTTATAACAAAACAAATTAATCAATTGATCACAAAAATTTCAAAGTGGGATTTAAATTTTTAATAATTTATAGCCGTTTTAAGAAATTCAAAATATAACATATAAGAAAAAATCTTTTTTTTTTATTATATGGTTAATGTGATTGTTTAATATTTTTTAATAATACAAAATTAAACAAAAAAGAGCTAAGCTACAAAAATTGTTATCGAATATTTATTATTCATAATCATTTATTGTCACAAATACGTTAATCATATTAGGTAAATTCGTAGTTGTTATTTAAAGGAAGTGCGAGAATGTTTTTTGTACACTATTTATCAATTTAATAAGTTTAATAAAAAGTATATTATAAATTAAGATGGACCAGCCTATTTTCTAAATTAATATATAAGGGATGTTACACCTTTGATCATTAATTTTTAACATAATAATTTTAACAGTTTTAGTAATTTATTGTCGTTTTTAAAATTCAAAATAGAACATCTACGAAAAAAAAATCGGTAGACGCCATTTCACAAAACTGTTAAAATGGTGGTCTTTTTGGGTATATATTGATCAGAGTAAGTGGGTATACAGTCCTACAGATGTATTAATAATATAACATGCATGTTATATTATTATATAACTAAATAATTATATACCTAATTATTTTAGCGTTAATCAGGTATTTTAGCTAACTTTGACATCAATATTGACATCANATTTTACATATACACTTGCCTTTACCATTAAGTATGTACTTGGTCACAAAGTAATTTCCATTTTACATATACACTTCCATAAATTAAAAGGAATGAAGTTATTATAGTTAATATATGCAAATCGTTATCAAATCGTATATTTTCCTTTTCTTCCATTACATGCGTGCGATATATATAAATATATAAACTATGTTACATGTGTTATATGCGTCTCTAATTATTTTTCCCTAGCAAATTTCAATTGAATCTAAAGCTGCCACGTCAGTTTAATTGGTATGCTAATTGATTGACAACTAAGCAAGGTTACTTTTTAATTATTACAAACTTGAGGTTACATCTTTTCAAATGTTTCTCAATTAATATATAGGGGATACTTTTCAAAGAAGAGAATAAAATGTTGTTTATCAATTGTCATTAAACTTATTTTGAATGGCTGAAATTTTCCAAATTGCATTCAATACAAACCGTTTTTGTGTCTCAAAACTAATAGTAGACAAAGACTAATTTTCTGCATAATTTTCATTGAAATATGCAATCCATTCAAATGACAGTTGTAGGAAGTCTCTTTCAAACCATGTGATCTAATATTCAACACTAAAATTCATATACTTTCTGTGCATATATAAATTCACTGGATTCAGTAAAACTAAAAATAGTAGAACAAAATGCAAAAGAAGATGAACCCGTGATATGATTTATGCAATCATAAGTTGAAAACAAACAGTAAACTCAAAGGCAAATGTGACAAAACGACACAAAGAACGAATCAAAACTCTGTTTGATAATCTTGTCCACATTTTTTCCCAAATATCATCAATGCTTATTCAACCACATTTCACTTTGTTTCAATAACCTCACTCTCTCTCTCTCTCTCACACACACACATTAATCTACTGAACTAATCACTATTCATTCTCTTTCCTCAAGTGCCAACTCACAAGCTTCTTGATTAAAGAAAATGGCTAAGAAGAAGAAAGGAAACTACTTCAAGCTCCTCTGTTTGCTCTTGCTCCTATCTAGTTTGATTCACACAGATGCTTCCTTTAGTGTAGGAGGCGGCGTTGGAGTCGGAATAGGCGGCGGTGTTGTCGGTGGCGGTGGAGTTTGGGTCGGCGGTGGTAACAGGAACACACCTCCAAGCAACGTGGCGTACAATGCTCTCCAAACTTGGAAAACCGCTATTACAGAGGATCCTTCTGGTCTTCTTAAGACATGGGTTGGATCAGATGTTTGTTCTTACAAAGGGGTTTTCTGTTCTGGTCAATCTATAACCGCCATAGATCTCAACCATGCAAATCTCAAGGGCACAATCGTCAAAGACCTCGCTGACCTCTCTGACCTCAACATACTTCATCTCAACAGTAACAGATTCTACGGCCAAGTCCCAGAGTCTTTCAAAGACTTAGACTCTCTCCAAGAGCTTGATCTAAGCAACAACAGACTCTCTGGTCCTTTCCCTTTAGTCACAATCTATATACCAAACCTGGTTTACCTCGATCTCCGGTTTAATAACTTCTCCGGTTACCTTCCTGAAGCTCTCTTCAACAAGAGACTAGACGCTATCTTCCTCAACAACAACCAGTTCGAAGGAGAGATCCCTAGGAACCTCGGGAACTCACCTGCCTCCGTGATCAATCTCGCTAACAACAGATTCTCCGGCGAGATTCCGACGAGTTTTAGCCTCACCGGTTCAAGAGTGAGAGAGGTTTTACTACTGAATAACCAGTTAACCGGATGTATACCGGAATCTGTAGGAATGTTCTCACAGATTGAAGTCTTTGACGTGAGCTACAACTCCTTGATGGGTCATGTCCCCGACACGATCTCCTGCCTGTCGGAGATTGAAATATTGAATCTTGCTCACAATAGATTCTCCGGGGAGGTTCCTGACTTGGTCTGCTCGTTGAGGAGTTTGATAAACCTCACGGTTGCGTTTAATTTCTTCTCCGGGATTAGCTCTGAATGCTCAAGAGTTAGCTTCGGGTTTGACTTCGCCGGGAACTGTATACCCGGAAGAAACTCGCAGCGGCCGGAGCCGGTTTGTTCTGGTTACTCCGGTGGCGGGTTGAGCTGTTATAGGACGCCCGTGCAGCCTCTGGCTTGCGCTGGGATAAGCGTGGGGCTTAAAGAGAAGTTCAGTCGCTACACTTCGTCTCATCCATGAGTGTTTAGTTTAAAGTTTAGAATCTTCTTTTTTATTACAAGAAACCGTTTGTATGTCTAGTTAAAGTTAGTTGATCACTTCTTGTATTGGTTGGTGATTAGTGCATTGATCAAGTTTAAATAAATCATATGACTAGTTTGTTGTTGTTGTTACTCAGTACATGAGTGAGAACGGTAATGATCAAGGAATGTAGTACATTGGATTTGGGACTTTGAAAGAACGATCAGCCACGGCGAAACCGAGAAGATCGCTCCATTGATCGCCGGTGTTGCCACGGATCTTGAAGCCTTTCTCGATTAAATTCGCCCGCTGCTCGGATTTGTAGTTGGTAGCTGATTTCCCTTGATCTTCTGGACCTCTGCATTGTAAACCAAAGACATGTTAAATTTCCTTATCCTTGTTTATGTTTCCGATAATCTTGATATGATCGATCTTTTCGATATAATATACCAATTGGTCTTGTTAAAGTCCAAAGAAGGATGGAACAGAGCATTTTGGTGTTAACAGCTTTACCTCAAGAGGAGCCTTTCCCAACCGGAGTAACCGGCGTCTCGGAGATTAGTCTCGGTGACACTTCTTTGGTGTTCGTCTCGGCCGGTTAGGAGGACGATAGTGAAACCGAGTTTCTTGAGAGCATTGTATAGTCTCAAGCTCGCTTCAAAAGCTGGAGCTGTTCCTTCTACCACCCACTCATTGAAGCTATTGGACTCGAATGGTTCAGACCTAAACCAATCCAAAAATAATTGAATCTAAACGATTGGTAAACTCGGGAAACCAACGCAATTACAACAGAACCGAATCTAAATGCGGAAGCCATACTATGTTAGATTCCGGTTTAATATATGATCAACAATCAGCAGGTCCGTCGATTTAAAACGGTTAAGATCTAACTGTCATTAATAGAAACCGATGCAGTTACAACTAAACCGGATTTAAATGCAGAGACCATACCATGCTACTCTAACAGATTCCGTTTTGATATAATAATCAACAATCATCAGGACCGTTGATTTAAAACGGATTAAGATCCAACGGTCTTTAACAAAAACCAATACAGTTACAACTAAACCGGATCTCAATGCGGAAACTATCCATGCTACTCCTAACAGATTCCGGTTAGTTATTATGATCATCAGGACTGTTGATTTAAAACGGATTAAGATCCAACGGTCATTAATAAAAACCAATACAGTTACAACTAAACCGGATCTCAATGCGGAAACCACACTACGCTTCTCCTAATAGATTCCGGTTAGTTATTATGATCAACAATCATCACAACCGTTGATTCAAAACAGATTAAGATCCAACGGCCAATAACAAAGAGATCATACCCGTAACCATGAGCTCTGTAGTAGTCTAAATTCGTGAGGAGCGTCTCATCGATATCGAAGATCCACACATCCTTCCCGTCGCCGGAGATCTCAACCGTTTTCGCGAAGGAGAGCGCGTAATCAGCGATGACGTCGTAATCGGATCCGTACTGATCTCCGTTGAGATAACCGGCGACGGAATCAACGCACATGGAAGGGATCACATCCCAGGTTCCGGCGTTGTTTGTCTCCGCGGCCAATCTCCAGCTCTCGCAGTAGGTATCGGAGGCGGAGGAGCGAGATCCGTCGCTTCCGGGGAGTTTGATGAAGGAAGTGCGAAGAGAGGTTGCGGGATTTGGTAAGGAGGTGAAGAGAGTGAGGACGATGAAGGAGATCGAGAGGCCACGAGGAGACGCCATTGGTGAGATTTGAGAGAGAGAGAGAGAGGGATTCTCCAAAATAATTGGTTATGGGATTATAATATATAGTATAGTTTCATTTAAAAAAAAAAAAAAAACACTTAGTTTCATTTGCTTAATGAGGTTTGATCGATATATAATATAGTTTGATATTGTATTGTTTGATTTTCTTTTCCACCTAGTTTCATTAGCTAAATGATTTGATCGACGTATAATATAGTTTGATTTTTTTCCACCTAGTTTTATTAGCTTAATGACGTTTAATTTATTCCACCTAGTTTTAGTCGATATATAATATTAGAGTTTGATAATTTGTATTGTTTGATTCTTTTCACATAGTTTCATAAGCTAAATGACGTTTGGTCGATATATATATAATAGATTTTTTTTTAAAATTATATATTATAGTTTGATAAAGTGTAGGTTATGGAGATTATTTGCATTCCAGTTCAAACAATCATTTGTGAAATAACCATCAAAAAGGGAAATTAGATTTTTAGAGAGAATGAAGATGGAGAAAAGAAGAGAAATGAGGAGAGAGGGGAGGATAGAATTCTAGTTAGATAGTGAATTATGTTTTCTGTGTGTGTTATTAAAGCCTAACTAGATCATAACCCGCCCGACTGGGCGGGTCTTTGTTTTTAAGGTATATATAAATATTTTAAAAATTACAATCTTATGGTTCCAAATTTACTAAGTAATAGTATACTGTTTAAACATTGTATTTCATCACTGAATTGTGTAACAGGACGTCGGTAAAATGTTGTGACCCGTAAATATTTTAGTAATATTTTATAAAAAATTTTTGACTAAATTTGGTGAAAAATTATATACACTAAACAATTTAGTCAAATTTTTAAGTTCATTTTTAATGAAGAATTGGAATGCTAGTATATTACTGTTAAAAACTTTTAACAATAGTCAATATAAATTATATAAATAAAATATATATTATTCTTGATTTATTCCACATACATTTAAAACACGAGTACATATATGTANAATTTTTAAGTTCATTTTTAATGAAGAATTGGAATGCTAGTATATTACTGTTAAAAACTTTTAACAATAGTCAATATAAATTATATAAATAAAATATATATTATTCTTGATTTATTCCACATACATTTAAAACACGAGTACATATATGTATACATAATTTTCAGAAATAAAATAATATCAAGGATAGAAAACCCAAAAAAAATAATAATGGTATTTTGGGCCGCAGTAATTTTTAGTTTAATAAGTAAGCCCATTAGATTTGTAGGCTATCATTGTTTCCAATCATCTTAATTTTAAATACTTACTATTCATGTTTCCAAACACTTAATTTTTGTACTTCAGCTTTAATAGTATAGATTTCCCTTCAAACAATTTATTTTCCAAAAGATAAGCCAATGTTTATAAGAAAAAAATCTCAAACAAATCTTACATTTAAACTAAAAATAAAAAATAAAAAAAATCTCAAACCAAACTATTGCCAAAAGAACACAACGCATTGGTAAGTTAAACCATAGTTTTGCTAAAGGATTTTGAGTTATTATAATTGATAAAGTAAATCATGTTTTCTTATGTGTAACTTTAAGGGATCAAAACCTATAATAGAAGAAGATTGTTAAACACAACATACATAAATAATCAGAGCATTTGGCAATTTGTTGTTATTGTTAGACCATATGGTAATTTCATTTGGCCAACATGTTACATGTGTGTAGAAGAGCACAAGACCTTTTTCTTTCTGATACGATTATCTATGGTTCCAGGTTTAGATGCTTTAGTGGTCAGCATAGGTGAACCAAGTAAATCACTGCCAAATCATTTATTCCAGTTGATTATAATTATCGTCCTCTTGATTATTATACTTACTATCCTCTTGATTATTATAACTAGTTGCATGTTCTCCGCGCAAGCGCGGAGCCGGAATCATTATGTTTGCGTGTATTTTTTCGATTGTTGGTTTAGTGGATTCTTTTAATGACACCAATTAATAATGAAATGAAAAATTTCATATTTTTATATCGTAGGTCAAAACTTGATATAATTCTATATTTATAGTATTTATATTTGTATTAAACGATTTATCAATATGAAAATAACCTTAATTAAGTTAATATTCGTTGTTTAAGTTTCATTAGATAGGTTTTTATATATGGTTTTTTGTAAGTTTCGGTTTTGTTCATAAATGATGTGGCATTTTTATCTACGGAGTCATCGACTGTGGGA